GAGAAACGAGCACTTACAGTGACATTAGCATTATCGGGGACATTTTAGTGTACCCGTTAATTTTTTGTCCCCGTAAGCATGATTTTTTTTGTAAAAAAATGTACTCGTCAGAAACTTTTATAAGAACAAAAAGTACATATATCGACTGACAAATAGTCTGACTCGAAAGGGAGTGCTGCTACATCGACTTAGGGTTTGGTTTGGCCAGGCATCGAGATCAGGCGTAGGGTTAGGTAATAGCAAGGTTTAAATTTGGTTATATCATTGTAAATAATCGTTTTTGTAATTAGCTAAAGTTAAAAATGAAATATAATATAAAATAAATAAATAAAAATAACAAAAATTAGTTTAAAAAAAATATTTTTATAATAAAATAATAAATTTAAATATGTATAAAAAAAAATAGTAATAAAAAAAAAATAAAAAAAAATGTATAAATATGATAAAAATAGTATAAAAAAAAGTAAAAAAAAAAAACAACAGAACGGTAACAAAAATAACATGTCCCCGAAAGTCGCCAACTAGAATGCTATAAATAAATAAATAAATAAATAAATAAATATATATATATATATATAATATATATATATATATATATATATATATATATATATATATATATATATATATATATATATATATATATATATTATATATATCATATAATATATATATATATATATAGAAAGTTTAAATGCACTTGTTTTTTTTAACTTATATAATACTTTTAAGAAATGATAACTCAATAAATTGAGGAGATGTGCTCTGTATTTTTATGTTTATACTATGGCTATAATTTATTAGTTTAGAATAAAAAAAAAATTGTATGGATATTATAACGGAGGTGGAGAGTAATGAGAAAATTAATGGAGTAATTAACTTTTAATTTTTGAAATAAATTAAAAACGCACTTTGATAAGAAAATGCGTAACACTAGTTGATTGAGAGATTTTTTAGTGAAGTCTTTTGCATTTTTATCACTCAATAACCTGTTAATGTTAGTATATTTCATTTGGATCCCTTTTCTTATTTTATTTTGAATAAAAACCACAATTACGATTTGATTTAAAATCCAGCAATTTTCAACTGATCCAACTTTATCAAAATATCATATTCTCATGGGTTAAAAAGCTGTTTCGTCAAAAACAAAATGACAAGTCATTGGAATGCATAAAATGAATATAAAAAAATTGGCAGACGCCTAAATATTTCTGAATTCAGCGTTCGTACAACAATAAAAAATTATTTATCAACTGGTAGTGTCAATGATAAAACTTGTACTGGGCGTCCGAAAAAACTCACAGCACGCAATAAAAACATGCTTCACACGCTAAGCAGACGTAACCCAAAAGCAGGAGTATCAACTTAAAGTTTCGAAATCAATAACTAGAAAATAACTAGTCACAAAATGCTCAAACAAAAACTGACCAAACTGTGGTATAAAATACTAATCAAGATGATTGAAAACTTAATTGAATCAATGCCAAGGCAAATACAAGCATATATTAAAAACAACGGGGGTCATATTCTGTATTAGTATATTTCGATTAAAAGAAGTTGTAGGTTTAAGCTTTATTACACTTTTTTCTTAGGAATCTTTTGATACTGAGTTTGTTATTTAATTTCAGAAAAGATTGTGTATATATATATATATATATATATATATATATATATATATATATATATACATATATATATATATATATATATATATATATATATATATATATAAATATATAAATATATATATATATATATATATACATATATGTATATATAAATATATATATATATATATATACATATATATATATATATATGTATATATATATATATATATATATATATATATATATATATATATATATATATATATATATATATATATATATATATATATATATATATATATATATGTATATATATATATTTATATACATATATATCTTATACTGCTGAGTTAGGTGAGCATGATGATGTCATACTCACCTAACGTCAAATAGCCTGCTGCCGGGGGCTTCAGTACATACATCGACTGACAAATAGCCTGACTCGCAGTTGAGTGCTGCTACATCGACTGAGTGTTTGGTATGGGTCAGCAACCTTTTCATTAATTATTCTTTGTTTTCCCTCCTCGTTTTCTAAAAACGCTCACTTAATTTAGGCTAGAAAAAAAAGCGAGCAATTGCGCATATAATTATGCTATATATATATAGTATATATATATATATATATATATATATATATATATATATATATATATATATATATATATATATATATATATACTACATTATATAGTATATATATATATATATATATATATATATATATATATATATATATATATATATATATATATATATATATATTATATATATATATATATATATATATATATATATATATATATATATATATATATATATATATATATATATATATATATATATATATATATATATATATATGTATATGTCTGTGGGCCTTGTTTTAAATA